TTGTTGGTCAACTTTTTTTTCTTCATTTGAAAAAAAAATGATTTAATTTAATATAAAAGGTATATAATTTTTTTTTATTTTGAAAATAGTGTTTTAATTTTGAAAAATGAGACCAAATGAAGCTCATTTGTTTAAAGTTTACATAATGTGTCCGATACAGCGAATAATACACATTCCCGAAAGATGAGTGTATCCCTTGGCGATGAATCCAAACATACAAACTAAGAGATTTGTGACATTCGTTTAATCTGCAAAATATTTTGTGTGACCGACAAGTTCTCTTACCTAATATAAAGATTAGATAGAGATTATTTTACGTAGGTTCCAAGTTCCGTATAAAAACAAGCCCTTATATTTAATTATATCTCAAATGACCGAAGCCATTTAAGAAAACCCTCGATTTAAATCAAAGGTTCTGTCGTCAAGATTCTCAAGGTTAGTATTCAAAGTTGTTTGTATGAAGAGTCAAATGATAAAGCACCAAATGAGAACAGTTATTTTAAAAGTCTAAAGAAAGAAAAAGGTAGAGAACGTCACGGATCCTAAGGAAAACCCTCAGTGACTTCCCAAACTATTCTACTGTAAGGTTGCGTTTTGGAGATGATGTTATTTAAAGATCTGTTTGGGGCAGCTGCAGCTTATTAAATAATCTGTTGATAAGCTGATTAAAAATAATCTGCGGATAAGCTAGGTGAGGTGGTTATTACAATTTTTTATTTGTTTGGAAAAGTCATACAGCTGCTAGAAAGCTGCCACAACACCTAAATTGGTGCTGTGTGAAAATGTTGTTTTCAGCATTTTGAAAACGCATAAGCTGTCAAAACACAGTTTACCCAAACAGGTCAGGTGCGTTTTCAAAACGCCACCGCACCAAATAAGCTACCCCAAACGGGCCCTAAGTGTTTAATTCTGCTAATTTTATTATTTGAGACTTACACTTACATAACACCCGATTATGCAGATAGCCCGCGGAGATAGGAGGGTTTACATTGTACCGAAAGACAAACTCAGAGCCTAAAGCGAGTTAGGACTTATATTGCACAACACAGTTGCAAATTTGCAAATGAGCCTAAAAAGAGTTTGAAGACTTATGTTGCACTAGGCGGACAACCTCGAAGTCCTACGGGAATATTGTTGTCATTTAAGGCTAAGGGATGGTTTAGGTGCAGTAGATTTGTTTCATGTTTTGAGTCTCTTGAGATTGTTCTGCACTTGCTTACCTCTTCGTCGTGTTGTCCAGCAAACTTGCTCCCAGCTCAATAAAGTAGCGACTCCGGGTTTAGGGTTTTATGTGAGAGCATGAAAATTTGTTTGGTCGATGGTCTGTCGCAGTGTACCTTCTAAACATACAGTCTATTGTTCTCTACCCTAAAAGGTCTTGCAATATAGGTAAATGCAAAAGTAAAATAACAATAAGAGCGCGGTAAAAAAAAGTGCGGTTAAATACAATAATTGTAAAAATCAATTTCTGTAAATGGTGTATGTTGCTGCTGCAAAAAGTGTCAGTATCACAGATAAAAATAAGCAAGTATTACAAAGAATTTAACAAGCACGGCAAATAAATGTGTATATGTAAGTACAAAAACAAGTGACCTATATATGAAAGATCGAAGCGGGTCGTAAGAATTCAGGCTCGGGTTGGGCAAAGAATTGGGCTGTGTTTTATAATTCAAGTTTGGATAGAAGCTACCAACCCAAACTATCGAAGGACAACTCCTGACCACTATCGAAGCAATTAAAAAGTGAACTTTTATAGAATTTTATCAAAGTTTATTTAATTTTTCATGCATATAGAGTGTACTTAATAGTCAAAAGTAGTGTTGTCGCAAATGGATTTTTTTTGTAGTATTTGTGTAAATGTTTGGAGAAGTGTAGTATCTGTGTAAATATTTGGAGAAGTGTACTATCTGTGTAAATATTTGGAGAGATTTAATAGTCCACAAATTGCTTAATTCAAGTCAGAACTACCGGCAACCTAAGAAAATAAGGGGTAACTCCGCACCAAGAGCTGATAAATAGCACCATCGGTCCTGCTCTCCCTTCATCGAAGGTCATCGAAGCAGGGGACACTATTCTCATTCCCACTTTTAGCATGCATAGGCACTTTCATCATCGCCCTTAAACCCTGAGTCGTCCAACTTACAGTCTTGCTTGATGACCCCTATATCCCTACCCTCTATACACTTATATTAGAATATAAGCACATAAACTAAGTCATCAAGCAAGAAAAGAAAAGAAAACGAACCAAAAGAAAGAGAGAGGGGACCGACCCAAAACCCAAAATCAGCTTAAGTAGAGGAGTAAAACAGCGAGTGGGTCAGCTCAAAAGGGATTTAAATAGCAATCAAGTGAAACACAAAACAATAGGGAAAGGGCTCCCCAAAACCAACTCTAAACCGTAAGCAAAAGCTCCCGAAATCGAAGCTCGATACATTGGCCAAAAACCCCATAAAACCGCTCCAAACCATAGGCAAAGGCCTCAAAAGTCCAATTAGTTAGCAAAGGATAGTGGTAACACAACCACCAAATAATCACATACTTACGTTTATGAAAATGACAATGATAAACTCCAACTATTCAAGAAATCAAAATTTTCTGAATTTATAATGTTAAATGGAAGTGGATTTCAAGCTCACACGAAATGTAATAAGGCTCAGCTTTAAAGTGAAATGGACAATGATACAAATTTCTTGTAATGAAGCTAGTATAGGGGAGTGTAATTGAGAGCATTCAAACCAACTTTTAGCTTCAAAAGGCAAGTCCTATAATATCACAAAGCTGTATAAGAAGTGAGATATGAACAAATTAACAATGTGGGGTACAAGTGGGAAATTCATGGCTTTTTGTAATGGCAGATGTAATGTATTGTGAGAAATAATTTATTTAATGTTGCTGGGGTATGAATTTTTGTTTTTTTTTTTTTTTTTTGGAAAAAATTTAACATCGATTTTTGTAGCTACTATATTCTAATAGATCTGATTGTAACAAGCAGTTTCTCACACAGAAGCTTCTAAAACATGGCAATAAATTTGGCCAAATGAAAGTGTAACAGGGGACTGAATAGCAAATCCATAAAAAACTGTCATAAACAAATATTTACAACATTAGTATTTTGAAAATTTTTATTCTATTGATTACTGAAAGTTTAACAATTAATAGTAGATGCAAAAGTTGGATAGTGGATAAGAGGCACACAAAGAAAATAATGATTATCATGCAACATGTTCTTTGCAAAACAAACAAAACAATCACTTAAATCATATTTTCTTTACCAACAAACTAAACCTCATAGCAGAGCAAAAGGAAGCTACCAACAACTGAGCTCCATGAGCATACAAGTTTCAGAACATCAATTAATTAACAATGACATGTAATTTGGCTTTTCAAAAAAAAAACTCATAAGCAAGCTGATCAAGGCCTCTAAACAAGGAGAAACTTTAGGAAGGAATCTTACTTGGGAAGATGACCTCGAGCGTTGAGTAGCGAGGAAGAGGGGAGCCGAGAGCCTTCGGTGGAGAAGAGGGGGGAAGGCGAGGGCTTCTGTCGAGAGGAAGAGAGTGAGGTGAGGGCTTATGTAAGGAGGAAGATAGGAGGATTTCAGTGCAGGGAGGAGGAAACTAGCCGAAGGATTTGGCTGGGGCATACGACGAAGCGGGCAAGAGAGAGGGCGAGCGGGTGCTTCTCTGTGAAAAAGGATCGAGACAGAGGGAGAGAAACAGGAAGAAGAGGTGAAGAGGGAGGTTAGGGCCTCGGTGCAGGAGGAGGAGAGCGGGGGCTTGTCGAGAGAGGAAGTGGAAGTTTCGGTGAAGAGAGGAGAGGAGAGAGGGATCTATCCAGAGAGGGGGAGGCGAGTCGAACGGGAAGAGGGGAGGCCAGGGCTTCGGTGTCTCGATTTTGTACGTATGAAAGCTCAAGATAAATGTTGGGCAGGAATTAAATGGTTTCCATTCATGCAATCGGCTAAATTGGAATGTCATAATGCCTAATTAAACCCAATTAAAACGAGATTGAGCGGTTAATTTGAAATTTCAAATTTCAAATTACGAATTGTGTTATATTCTGTACTCTGGTGTAGTTGACTCGTCTTCAGCCAGAATCGAACTAGGGTTGAGCTTAAACCCGCCTCAATTAATTATTTACAACTATTTTCATGTCGTCTGCTCACGCGCGTAACCATGTCAAGATGGGTGTCCTTCCCGCCTAAAATTGACATTCCGGACGCACTCGCGCGGTTTGTTTCATCATTTGGGGTCGTCCGAGCAAGCTTGTCGACGATTGGGCTAATTTAAGTTTATATCGCGCATAGTGCAGTAGATGTGTATGAGCAAGCCAATTAAGGTCAAAAGGGTGTCCCTATGGCCTTTTAAATCCTGTGGGAACTCATTTTTTGGCCCTCCACATGGTTGCCCTTAGCCCTTGCAACTAAGAGTTGTGTTTGGGACCACTCATGTGAGGTTTTTCTTTCGCAAAAATAGATCAAGAAATGGTTGGAAGTCCTACGTAAGCTGGATTCCATTACTAGTCCTCTAGAATAGTCAATAGAAAAATCTTAAGAATAGATCCTAAGCTCTAGGAGAAAGAAACCAAAACCTCACTAAAAAAGAGGTCGACAACCTTCAACATCTATGTTTGAAAAAAAATTGATTGTCAAACTCATTCTCCCCAATCCCTAATAAAAAAAAATGAAGCAAATTACTGATAACGCTAAGCTCGTTAGTGCTTAGAAACATTTCTTATTTTAAGGTATTTTCCACTTCAAGTTAAAAGTCTGCTTAGTTCAAAGATGCAGAAGAAAAGTACATAAAGATAGAGTTCATCAAAGCTAAGTTAACAGCATTGTAAGAAAATGTTTCACTAAAACGCTCTACATATCAGATTCAACTACATTTGAATAATGATCTCTCCTTTGAGTATCCATGAAAGAATCAAAGTAAAACAACAATTTAACAAATAAGCACTAAGTCTATGAAAAGAATCAATAGCATATAATAGCAAATTACCCTCCAGATAGACCGAAGTACGCATTCAACTGAGAAACACTCCAACTAATGTCATCTCCTTCTTCACATTCCTTAATTGCCTGATGCACCAGAGCACAAGAGGCAATATGTGCACCCGCAGACTGTCCCATTAAATAGATCCTATAACATAAAAAATGTCACAAGTCAGAAAGTATTTAAGTCCAATGCATTTATCACAAAAGTAATAATATTCGGTTTTATTAGCATCCAGAAGTTGGTATCCCACATAAGGATGAATGCTCAATTCAACCCATGAACAAATAGTAAGTAGCACAATTTTTAAATTTGAAACTTCCAACATTATCATACAAAAGAGAAAACACATAATCACTCATAATTCAATTGTTACGAGCAACAGATAAAGCTTTAGCATACACTAGGCAAGCAATTACATTTATACCGAGACCACCAAATTTTGGTTGGAAGTTTAGCGAGTCGAAAGTTTCTCAGAAATAAAGTATTAGTCATATTTGGCACACCAGACAACAACGATGCCATCACATGCCTCATTTCATGCTCTTATTGGTAGATGTTTCAGTACTCTTCATAGTCATATCGGAAACTCTTTCAATGATAAACAATGTTGGAGCAAATCAACTAGTATACGGATGTATAGGTTGATATATATATGAACTGGTACAGCTCTGCATGTCCCTATATGCCATTAGCACAGCGAAAAAGAAAACACACTATGGATTGATTAATACATGTTTAGGTTGACTATGGTTAAATTGATGTCAGATAGATCAATCAGAACCTAGCCTAATCACATCAAACACAATTTTCCCTAAACTCCAGACTAGATCCAAACTCATATCTAGCCTAAATTGGTAAGACGATAGAATGCTTGCCAACACAATTAGCTAGCCAGGATTCACCATTAGTCAACTAGAAGTGACTAGTCTTCATGACTCATGAATCACAATCAAACTCATCAAGTCAAACCCTATTCAAACTAGCCAAAGCAGTCCAATCATAAGCCATAATGATGGAGCTAGACAAATGCAGAGGACAATTTAAAGAAGCAATTTTTGAGCTAATTCGTGACTCATGGATTCAAGTAAATTCATGGAAGCTATCGTGAAGAGTCACTTAGAGATGGAATGCCATAATTCAATTCCTACAATAAATTTAAGGACATTTATTTTCATGTAATTCTGAAATTTGAATTTGGGTTTAGGGTTAAGTTATTTGAGAGGGCATTTGTGTAAATTTTCTTATTCATAAGATGTATGTGGTCTATTTAAAAGCATGGAGTGCTAATAAAGAGACATTCACTGAGTTTTGAAAATCGTTCTCTCTCATTCTTGGAGCTGATCCAATAGTTCTTGATTGACTTATCAGTTAGCCAGCCATAGTTGATTGAGGCGTCTTCTCAACACAAAGGTTTGAGCTTCTAGAAGGCGCCAAATTTTCATTTATTTTTGGCAGCAGCTGGAAATTTAACAGTTATTAAACAATTACAACAGCTGGGCAGTCTGCCTCCCTGTTTCCCTCGGCAAAAAGCAGCTACGCTGCCTGTTTTTTCTTGTTTTACTAAGCTGCGAGCATTACAAACACTGGGAGAGGATCCTACAGCAGGGGCTGCGGCAGAGTGTTTATTTCTCTGACTATTTGGTGAGGTTGCGTTGCAGCAATGGGGGGTTTTTCAAGCACCAAGAAACCAATCACATGGTCTAAGCTATACCCAAACTCCTCATTACCCTTAGGCCCAAGGTAACCTAGATTCACCCTAGGATGGTTAATTAAGTCCAAAGAACCACTAACGACTCATTTAGCCAATTAAAAAAAAAAATGAAATTCAAGCCTAACTTAAGCTAATCGAAGATAGCCCAAAACTAGCTTAAATCAATCCAAGGCTCAATCCATGATCACAAATGCCATGAAATAAACTTGAATTGAATAATTAAGCTCTAAAATAACTTTTGAAATTTCTTTAATCATATAAACTCAACCAAAGTCAAGCCAAGATGAACTTAGATCATAAAATTAAAGCTGGCCTAACTAAATATAATGCCCAATTCATTGCAAATTGATAGACCAAAACCCCTAGACTTACTTTAGAAGGTCGTTAAACTCAACCAAGTTTAATTTACCCATTGAGTCACCCAATTCATGCGATGAACTTATATTTGAGCAAAGTCAAACACGTGCAAGTCTATCTAATCAGATTAACCTAAAGCTAATTTAAGGAGACTCAAAGCTTGGAACTTGTTCACTTGATCCAGACTACGTATAAACATTATTTGAACTAAACAAAATTACGCTAGATAAAGCTAAGCTTCAGTCAAACCTAGTTTGGTAGGACAAAACCACTCAATTCACTCAATTTAAAATTAATTCAATCCTCCGGCTTGCAACAAAGCATATCTTCAATTACAAGAAATCATATTGGAAAATTCTCTGTAGCTTAGGTAATAGCAAGGCAGCAGTGAAGCCCAACCCGTGAAAAGTGCATATTGCATTAATATAAAACCAAAAATTACAAAAGAGTGCAAAAGCTATGCCTCCTGGACATTTACAATGTAAGCCTTATCCTCTTGCAAAAAAAATAAAAAGAAGATCAGAATCACTAAATGTGTGATAACAAAATTTCTATCTATGGTCATCTTGGCACAATTATGAGCAACATTATTGCTGCTCCTGAAAATGTGTTGCAAGGTTACGTTTTTTAATCTGAACAAATAAATAAAATTTGGATGGTTGAGGAGAGAAGGCTTCCATAGCACGCCCATCCATGTTGCTTTGAAAATAGTCAATGACATTTGAGATACCACTTTCTATAAAAATGCCATTACCTTCAAGCATCAAATCCTCAATGATCTCCGAGAGAAACGAGATCGCCAACATTTCAACTTGTGCGCTATCCCAGTGAAGAAACTGAATTCCCTTAGCCAAGAGAAGCTCCCCCATGTTGTCACCGAGGATAATACCAATACCCGCCAAACCAGAAGGATGAAATGTCCAAAAACATGCATTCCTTGCTACCCAAACTCTCCAAGTGCAAATAAACCCCAGAAAAACTTGAACTCTAGCTCTCCTGAAGCTCTACAGCCCAATTAAGGATGAAATCATCCAAAAACTCAAATAGAGGTTGAACTTCCCAGCTACCCTCAAGTCCAGCACCGAGCGTATGAACACAATCTGGCCTAGAATATAAGGGAATTAGGTATATAATTCCTAGCCCAAGATTAAAAATTGCTTAGTTGCCAGGTTCACGCAATGCAGAGGCTTGAAAACGTTTTCCAAAAATGCAGTCATTCCACCTTGCTGATAAATTTGGACGTCTAAAATTCCCAAATTTATCTAACAATAGTGAAGAATGAGCCAAAACCGGTCTGGGGCCCCCTTAATTATGAAACATTAGCCTGACATTCCATGTTTCAAAATGGATAATTATAGCTGACCTTTTTTTTTTTTTTTTTTTTTTTTAAACTATACCCACCACCCACTCTACTAGACAGTTTAATAAGGGGTCATACATTAATTAAAGTTAGGAAACTGATCCAAAATAAAGTTAGGAAGCTGATCCAAAATAAAAAGAAAAAATTTCTAAAATTTTAAAATTTAAAACTCTACATTTTAATAATAGGAAAAATATGTTGTTCATGCACAATTTATCATAATTTAACTGTTTAGCTAAGAAAAATAAATATTAATTGAACTATGAACATTATGAGTTAATTTGAGCTACTTATTTGAGTTAATGAAAATTAGGGGTTATTCATTAAAATGATAAGAAATCACTCTAAGGTAAAAACCCAATATAAAGCGACTCAACTATACTTCGGATAACAAAACATAATTACTGAAGTAAGAAAGTCTACTACAAAATACCCTTATATATAAAAAAATGTCAACTCATCAGGCCTCATCACCATCAACAACAGCAGGTTCTTCAGGCTAGCTATGAGTAAGAAAATAAGTTCAAGGTCGAAAAGGTTGTTTTGGTTGACCTTAGATCGAAAATAAGCTCAGGCTCGCTATGATGAACATGTCCTGCATCTGTCTTCGAGCGGACAGAGGTACAAATCATTATCTGAATATCTCCATGAACTCCTCCCAAGTGCCCATCATATTAGAGGTATGTCTGCTAGCTTGTTCTAATGCTGCCCACGCCACCACCTTTCGGCTTCTCTCCAACACAAATGTAGCTAATGGCACTCTTCTATCATCCGGACAGGTCATACTATCTAATATCTTCTCAATCGCATCAATTAATTCTTTGCTTCAACTAAATCTTCAGTTCTCTTAAATAATGGTGGACGTAAATCCTGGAATATCTTCAAGTACTTCTCCACAATAATGTATCACATCCTATAGGTTGCGATCTGAACTCATGAATTAGCTGAGTCATTGTTGTCATCTGGCTCAGGACAGTTGTGTTTACATTTTTAGTATGTTGTATTTCATTACTTTATATCAGACTCTCTTTCTCTATAATTTCGGGTATATCACTATACATAAATGGATATAATCTGGCTCAAGACATTTGTATTTCAATTCTCTGCTTTAATTGAATCTTCAGTTCTCTTAAATAATGGTGGACGTAAATCCTCCTGGAATATCTTCAAGTACTTAAATAATGGTGGACGTAAATCCTGGAATATCTTCAAGTATTTCTCCACAATAATGTATCACATCCTATAGGTTGCAATCTGAACTCATGAATTAGCTGAGTCATTGTTCTCATCTGGCTCAGGATATTTGTGTTCACATTTTAAGTATGTTGTATTTCATTTTAAGTATGTTGAATTAGCTGAGGTATGTCTGCTAGCTTGTTCTAATGTGTCAGACTCTCATTTTCTATAATTTCAAGTGTATCACTATATCTAAATGGATATAATTATTAATTTGAGTTTAACTTTACTTTTTTAAAATTTTATTAAAATTTTCTTATAATTACCTCATTTGCTCTTTCATTAAGATAATTAATTAATCATAAACCTTGCACTCATACCACTTTTGTCACAATCCAGCCCGATGCTTAGAGTTAACTAAGACGGGTACAGAAGATCAGACGGTGGGAATTATATTTTTCATATATTTTCTATCACTAACTATTAACAAATAAAAAAGTCACTAATCAAATTATATTAAAAAAGTATAATTAAATTTAT